TTTTTTGGCATTCAAGAAAAAAAAAAAAAAAAAGCCCCTGCCTCCCTAAATCGGCGAAACTGTGCGTGTATGTGGCTGTTTCGCAAGCGGCCAGGGCGGCAGGCACATTGACAGTTGGGTCCTGAACGTTATCATTCCAGGTGCGCTCGGGAAACCTGTGGAAATCGTTGCCTAGGCCGGACCCATCATTGACGTTTCCCATGGCCGTTGCTGGCAGCCCGCTATCCATGGCCCATGCCTGTCGGTTTGGTGACAGCAAGGCGAGCCTGGTCGGGGTGCTGGTGCTGTTGCGTGGTTGGCTGGAGCTCGCTGACCTTCCCTGTCGGCACAGCGAGGGTAATATCTCTGGAAATCCACGTAACACGAGCGGCGCTGCGTCGGGCCACACCACCCGCGAGGGCGACACAGGGGACTGGCACACACGCTCATAGACACACGCTCACAAACACAGGCACACGCTCACGCTCATGGACACGGCTCAATGCAGCGCGGTGCCTGGAAACATGAATAATAAATAGAGACAGTGGCGACACAGACGGGCAAGACAGGTACACACAGTACACAAGGCGGGGAGCTGAACTGCATATCCTGGACGACGAGAGCTTCTGGCGGCAGGGACCCTGCTGGAAGCCGAAGAGACATGGAGTCGAGACGGCGATAGGGCCCCAACGCTCCGTCTGATGCCATCAGCAGCTGCAGCCATGTCATGGGTGATGTTTGATTTGGGTCCGGTGCCATTGACTCGCTGCGATCGGTGCCCTGAACCAGGACCTTGAATGGAGCCAGGACCTGGAGCCACAACCCGAGCCACCAACTCAATGGCTGTACCAGTCACTTCGGCCCGCCCGCCATTCACCACTAACGGCTCAGGTCCCCACAACCTGCGCCTCTGCCGCTCCCCACCTTCATTTGCACTTTTTCTCTCCTGCTTTCAAGCTGCGACTGGTGCTTTTGCTGCTGCTGCGGCAAGCACAGTATGCTCGGGTTACCTCAGCAGTCCGTCAACGTTCAATGGGGCTGCTGTGTTCCTGCCGGAAACACCCCCGTCGTTCGCTGCTGGGGTTGGCTCCCGCCGTCCCAAAGTACCCACGCACGTCCAGACTGTGATCGCCCTCCACTGCCACTGCACTGTCGGGCCCCAACCTAACGCAACGCAACGCCTCATGCCGTCGGTGTTGCTTGCTTGCTTTCCATGCCTGTCCAGTCTCCATACGCTTGCTTCCCTCGATGCTGCCTGCCCGCCTGCCCAATTCTGTTATCCGCTTCCCGACAAACACGAACGGGACGCGCGCCCAAACTTGAAATCCCCTGATCCCTTGACCAAGCTCGGCCAACAAATCGACAAGTGGGATAGAGCCCGGTCGTTCCGCCCCTTTTTTTTTCTTATCCTCCAAGAGGGGCTTGTGTTCCTGCTCCCCGGCAACTTTTTTTTTCTTCTTGCTTTCCTCTACTGCCCGAAGCGACTTGTCCTTGCTGCTGGCACCTTTTGACTTCGCTCGTCGGCGTCAACCGCTCGTTACCCACCCACGCAAAAGGGCACCGCAATTCCCTGGCCCGCCTAGCCTCCTCCTCGTCTCAGCTGGTGCCAAAAGGGGATTAACCAGGCGTGGCGAACAACGTTTCGACTGACCTCCCTTCTGCAAACGCATCCATTCGCTCCGAACCTATCGCTAGCTCTCCGACGACCGCCACAATCCCCAGAAAAAAGTGTGAGGGGGGAAACGAGAATCGTCCCAAGACCGAGAGGTGCATGATAGAGAAAAAAGAAAGAAGAGGAGGACAAACGCCCAAACTACCAGCCAACCATCCCGCTCCGTTCGAACCGTCAATCGCGCCGAAAAAAGCCAAACCCACCTTTTTATTCTCTGTTTGCTTCCATCCCTTCCAGCCGCATCGGCGTGCTTTCAGGCGTCACACTCGTTAGACCAAACCCCCCGGGGGGCGAGCTTGCATTGTGTGGTGCTGTGCTAGGCGGCCGGATCTCCTGGGCCAACACCCACCCCCTTTGTGCCATCGAACCCGCCTACATTTGCTCCCTCGCGAAAAAAAAAAAAAAAGACCCCCGTCCGTCGTCTACGATCAGCGATCGACCTGCCGAATGGGTCCGTGTGGTTCTGTCACCGCTCAGTTCCACCCGCGCATCCTCGGAGACGCCCTTCGCTGCAGCCCGACTGTGCTCCCACCACGCTCCGTCGTTGCCTGACAGCTCGGCCGTCACCAACCACACCCCCACGCGAGCAGGGAACGAGACACGCGAGGACGCACCGAGCGAGAATAAAATATCAAGGGGAAGAGAAAAGAGATACATCATACACACACGCACAAAAGCAAGAAGAAAAAGAAACTAGGGGCTTCCAGGACCCCAGCCTCTTTTTGGCTCTGATAGCGAGGGAGAGTGAGACGGCCTCGTCCACGCCACAATATACCAGTATCAGCCAGCCTAGGGAGGCGGCGTTGCAAGAAAACCGCCAGGCCTGGAGAGCGAGATCGGGTACTGATCGGAGGGCCACCACGCTACACGCCCTAAATCCCTAATCTTCCTACAGGCTCGGATACCCGGCCGTCGCTGCTGGGTGCCTAGCCCTCTCGCAACTAGCCCACGTCCCCGACGTGCCACCTGAAAGTGCTGCTGTGTGGGTCGGCAACCGGTCTGCCCTCGACGTGCGGCCTGCTGTGGACGCTGCCGGTGGTGCCGTTGCTGCTGGCACACGCACGCCTGTTTGCCAACAAAGCCTGCCGCTCCCAAGGTGTTGACGAAGCTGCTGCAAGGCGAGCCCCCAGCCGCCGGCGCACGCTCGCGACTTGGCGAGCACACCATTCCAGATTGGGCCGCCCATAATGGCACCCTTGACGCCCCGGCTCAAGATTCTCTCAGGTGGGTGCCCTTCTCCTCCATCCCGCTCCGTGGTACTTGTACCGCCCGTCGTCCTGGTTGTCGAGGTGCCGCCAAGTGCGACACCTGCATTCTTCGGGAGCGATACGGGTCCCCTTCCTCCCTCGCGCTACACTCCGTTCCACCCTAACGTGCACCAAACCCCGTCTGGGGGCGTCAGCCGTGGATTGCCTCGCACTCACTCCTTTCCCCTTCCCATCCTCGGCTTCCTGTCACCCTAATTTCACGCCGTCGTCATTCTTGTATTTTGTTTTATTTTTCATTTCCCATGTCTCCTGTCACAAGTTAACTCGACTTTCGCTGCGGAAAACGCCTCCCTCTGTCCTCCCCCTCCCCCCTCCATATCGTGGGCCCTCTTTTCGCAAACATGGCCGCGGACTATGAGCTAATGAGAGTACTTTCAGTCGGCGGGAATCCGGTTTCTGCCTTTCTGTCATGGCGATTGCAAGCGACAAACGCTTGCGACGTCACGCTCGTTTGGAAGTCCGGATTTGAGCATGTCTCCCAGTATGGCATATCGTTCAAGTAAGTCTCGAGATTCGGCATTCCGCTTCCGTGCTTGTGGTACTCGTTTTGGCCACTCCGTGCTGGCGCCCGCAGCGATCCTGACGACTCGCGCGAAACAGATCCCCAGTCTTCGGCAACGAAAGGTTTAAACCGCGTCATGGTATGTTGTTCCATCTTCTCAGCGTCTCCCTTGCCTCTAGCGGCTGACTGACCTGGCGACTGGCGCATGCAGTCGTTAAATCCCCCGAGGACGCCGCCGCGCGCAAAGAGGGCGCATTCGACTACGTGATCCTCTGCATAAAAGCCCTCCCCGACGTCTACGACCTCGCCGCCATTATCGACTCGGTCGTCACGCCCCAGCACACGTGCATCCTCATCAACACCACCCACACACTAGGCGTCGAGGCCGCTATAGAAGAGCGATTCCCCACCAATGTGGTGCTGTCCCTCGTCGCCGGCGCCGAGCTGACCCAACTTGGAGCGAGCGAGTTCGAGCACAAGGGCTCAACCGAGATCTGGGTCGGCCCCGCCAACAAGAACAGCAACATTCCCCCGTCGATACAGGACGACATGGCGCAGGCGCTCGCCATGACCCTCAGCACCGGCCAGGTGGACTGCAAGGTGTCTTCAAACATCCGCCAGCAACAGTACGAGAGGGTTATCGGGTACGTATCTCGTGCTCTTGCAGTGGTTCTCGCAATTCTACCTCGCTTTGTCAATATTCATCTAACGTGAAATACCGCTTCTCAGCCCCATTGCTTTCCACCCCGCAAGCGTCATCTTCGAAACCTCGAACCATGCTGCCCTGCTCGAGAAGGTCGGCGTATCCCAACTCATTTCAGACGTCATCGACGAATTACTCTCGCTGGCAACGGCCCAAGGGTGCAAGCTCTCCGACGATTTCAAGAAGAAGACCATGTCAGAGATGGGTCAGAGCCAGAGCTCCGAGAGCATAATGTGGCAGGATTTTATTGCGAGGAGGCCCATGGAGGTCGAGACATATCTGGGATCCCCGATCCGCCTCGCCCAGGAGACTGGCGTCCGCGTTCCCCGGATCGAGACCTTGTACGCAATCCTCCACAACCTCAACACCGTCAACCAGAACCGCCCCAAGGCCGACCCATCACAGAGGCCTATCCCTGGGTCCCCCGGCCCTGCGCCCTCTCCTATTCCGCGGAACATGAACGGTCCCCCTCGTCCGATGCCAAATGGCATGCCCAACGGCATGCCTAATGGTATGCCCAACGGAAACGGCATGCGCGGCCCACCCAGGCCACGAAACTCGTCAAACCTGGGCCCTCCCCCGCCTGGTATGCGCCGGGGTCCCCCACCACCGGGTATGAATGGAGGCCCGCCTAATGGCTACGGGCGCCCACCCATGAACGGAGGACCTAATGGGTATGCGGGGTCAAGGGCAGGATCGAGGAGAAATTCCATGGAAGGGGCCGACTTGGAGGAGTTTAGTCATCTGGTGGTCTACGATGACATCCCCGAAGGTGGGCAGACTAGCTACCCTCCCAACAACCACGATCTTGCTCTGCGGGAGCGGGAGTTGGCCATCCGACAGCGGGAACTTGCGTTGAGAGAACAAGAGATGAGAATGAGGCGTGGCCCCCCTCCTGGACCTCCTCGCAGGGGCCCTACGCCCTCCCTCCGCGGCCAACCCCACGGCGGCGGTGGGTTTGACGACGACGACGAAGATGACGACTACTTTGATCCTACCGGGCCGCCGACTGGTCCTCGTATCGACCCCGACAACTTCGACATGATGAGCGTGACTTCCAAGAAGAACCGCAGGATACCGAGCGCGTCCAACTCGCGTAAACCCGAGTTCGAGCAGATCAACGCGCCATCTCGAGGCGGCCGATTCCGGCCGCACTTTGGCAGCAGAAACCGATCAAGCCAGCAGCTGATGAGCCAGTCAATCAACCTAACTGACAACATTTTGGATGATCCCTTGATGAGCTGTTCCTCCAACAGATACGGGGCTGTGGATCGTGGCACGATGCAGGCCGAGTCTCGAGCGAACTCGTTGACGGCCTCGCGTCTCGACGACCTCTCGTACCAGGGAGGACCCGGAGGCCCGCCCATGGGCATGAACGGTGGCTACCCACGCCGGGCCAGCCAGTCGCCAGGCAACCCGTACAGCCCCTCTATGCGCGGGGGTAACGGTGGCCGGCCGTCGCCACCCAACGGCTACGGCGGACCCCAGCACCCCAACGGGCGCCCCTCGCCGCCCAACGGGATGATGCAGCAGCCGGTTCCGCGATACCCGCCCGGTCACGGAAACGCGATCGCGCCGCAGCAAGTAGAACAGCACGTTGGGGTGAGCAACCTTCAGCTCCCGAAAGGCAACCATGAAACTCGAAGTCTGACTGGTAGTGCGAGTGCCAGCGCGGGCAGTGGTGATTCCAACTCGGAGCCCTCGGCCCACAGCAGCCAGAGCAGCCTTGGACCCCGCCCTCCCATCGGCGTCCGCTAGATCAAACGGCCCGACCGACGACGACGGCGATGCCGTCTCTTTTTGTTTTTGCTTTCTTGGAAAGACATGACCCCCACAAAAAAAACACCGAGCATTCCTCTTCATGATAGCGCCTTTCTGCGATGGGTCTTTGGGGCGTAATGAACCGCTCTGAGAGATATTATGGCCCGCGTCCGTTTTCCCTTGTTCTTCTAATCTCTGCTTACTCTTGTATCTGGCCGCATCGGTTGTCCAGCCTCATCATCTCCCCACCCGAATCTCATGCCAGGAACAAGTCACCAGGCTATCGGAGCAGGGCAAAAGACATCTGTTACCCTACAAACCACCGGGTTTTTTTGGGGATTCTTTGCTGTCTGCCGTGACCCCGATTACCGGCGCAAATCCATCTAGCGCCGCAGCTCCTCTCTCTCTCTCTCTCTCAAGAAACGTCTTCTCTTTTAGAATGGTCTCTTTGGGTTATTTCTATTCTACGGCGCACACACATAATCTTTAGTGGCTCTCGGTCTGGGGGATGGGAGAGAAGCCCGGTACATAGGCATCTTTTTTGTTCTCTTTTGTTCTTTCCTCTCTTTTGACGACCAACAGCAACTACACAGCTTATCTCTGGTAATAACTGCATTGGTGGACCCCGGGTCGGGACGTCCTGTTGTCTTTTCTATCTCTGTCTTGTGCAGTACTCCAAAACTTTTCATGCGCCGCTATAATTCGCCTAAACGAACGCCCCTGCTTTCCCCTCCACCTACCAGGTTGGGATATCCGTCTCCTTCTCTCTTGTCCTTTGTTTCCTACCGCACACCTCATCATCTCCAATATTTGTGTTTATTCCTAGCGGTGGGATGGGGTGGGTGGTCGTTTGTACCAAACAGAACGGGAAACCGAGGTTGAAGGATGTAATTGAGTCGGTCGAGGCCCGATGCCCTGATTGTATACAGGTAACCGTCGGCCTCGAAGGTGGGGAGGAGGGCCATGTACGACGGGGCAGAGGTTGTATGCTGTAACACATTCTGCAGCAAAGCATCCCATCCCCTCCCTTGTGGGCAGGCAAAGCGAGCGTGGGGGCATACAGGTTCGTTTCCTGCAAATCATGGGAGGACCCTGGCTTGTAGGACGGAGGGAACTGTGAGGGAGGCTCAGGCTTAGCCTTAGGCTTACGCTGATGTACAAACGGTGGAAAGAAAAAAAGAGTATATCACGAACTGTCACATATTTCGAACTACAAATCATACCGGCTGTGTCTCCTGCTCGTGCTTGGTGTGATTTGGGTTGCCCTTGACTGTTGTTGTGGCCTGGGCGCTGAGACTGTATTCCTTGAGGGTGGTTTGGTTCAGTTATGCATCAAGCAGCCGAGCCTCCTGTTTTGGCGTCTTGTTTGGTATCTATCGCCGTTCTGGGGCACGACATGGACACATCCGTGCCGGGTCGGGGGCCAGGGAGGGACTTGAAGAGACGGTGTCGCGGCCACGATGGAATCCCTTTGTCTGTCTACCCCGGACTGTTTGAGGTATGTGTCCAGTGAGTCTAGTGAGATAGAGAAAGACGAGGAAAGTAACAACACGCCGGCCTGGGCGTGATGTCCTACCCATCGCGAATCACCCAAGGGAACAAAGCGAGAGGGAGAAGGAAAAAAAAAAATGATATCTCTGGCCTCGTTTGTCTGGGGCATGCTGAGATGGGTCGAGAACGGGGTGGATCGGACGGTCCCGAGTATATTTTTTGTGGGTTGACCAGGTACGGGCGAGCAACAAAAGAACACCAGGGCCCCTTCACAAGAGCCGTGGGAATGAAAAATGCCATGCTTGAAATGAAATGGCAAAAGCTCACCTGGAAACTTTCAGGGCGCCCGTGTCACAAACACGGCTGTGTATTTACTTGCATCTGTCTTTCGCACGTTCTAGGTGCGGACAACTGTGATTTACCTCGCTCCCTATAGAGGGCGATCGCCAAATGCTGCCTAGCTCTTGCCACTCGGCCAAGACTCGGTAGGTCTGGGGACGTTGAGCGAGACGCTGTTGGGTGTGCCTAATAAGACGTGTTTGCTTTTCTGTCTTGTCCCTTTCCGCCCGCTCTCAGGTGGCCCGGATATCATTCTCCTTTATCCCTCCTTTTTTTTTCTTGTTTCCGATCCCCCAAGACCCGAGGGACGTGCAGGCATGTGCCATGCGTTTCTACTCGGAAGGGGGGCGGTTGTAAGTCAAGGCACCTAACAATTTAGGGCGGGCGTTGATGACTGTGTTACGTCAGCAATCAATCGCACTTTGGCGGAGGTGGGCTGCTGCAAATGGCTGCCGCGTCGGCGCGTCTCGAGTCGGCTGGTTGCCCCGCCTATCGATGATGCTGGAATGAGGCTCTCAAAACGCCCAAACAAATTCCCATCACCTTTTTAACAGAGACCTCTACGGCCCAAGTCGGCTACCACGCACCTTCCTCCAGTAGCTCCGCTACGCGTCCTAAACAGTGAAGATGGCGTCGCGTGGCCTGGGCGGCAGCAATCACACAATGAACATCACGGCATCGCAGGGGAGCCAGCAGGGGCGCGCCTCCATGGCGACCTCGGGCTCGGCCGTCAAGGCACGGCAGCTGGTACGTAGGAGATGGGCCGGGCACGGCCTGTTTGCAAGCTCATAGATGTATTTGACACTCATGGGCGTGGGTAATGGCGAACGAGTCTCAGTTTGTATCCCTTGTCATGACTGACTGAATTCTCCAGTCGCATCTCCACTCTCAGCTCGCCCAGCTATCAGCCAACCTCGCCGACACAGAGAACCTGCTGCGCATGACGAGCGTGCAAGCAGAAGCCATGCGCGGGCTCGGGAGCTGGCATGCCGGAATGTGAGACTCGTCTCTTTTTGCCACTCATTCCATCCTCCCCCCTTCCTCTCTGCAGAGCCACCAGTAGATACTGACACTCGGCCCACCGAAAGGTTTATGGCTGCGAGCAAGTTGGGCGAGGAGGCGGTTCGCGACCAGCAGCAGGGCGGTCAGGGAGGTGAGTGATAGGGAGGAACTGGTGTGTGTTCAGTTACACCGCAAAAACGGGCCGTGCTCGTTCTTGCAGCCCACTGCCCAGATTATGAGGGAGGCTAGCTCGTGAATAGGGGATAGCAGTGCCAGAATTTCCAGCAGGGAGGCCATAAAGATAACATTGAGGACTGCTTTCCTCTTGTCAGGTTTCAAGCAGTTGGTAGGCGTAAGAAACCAGCCGCACTCCTGGAAGACCTGATCGACGCCGAGCCGTTCTGGCATGGCGTTGTTGAGCGTCTCCTTTTAGTCAAGGCAGCATAGATGGACAACCTCAGGGTAGCCCTTTGCCTCGGATGCGTTCAAGAGTTTTCAGTGTGTCAGTCAGGTGGTGTCTTTTGGCCAGTAGTCCCTGCCGCGCCTCCAGCTGCCTTCTCTTCGGTCGCGTCCCGGAACGGCCTCCGCTTCTGCCTCGGCGCGGCGACGGGAAACCGCTTAGCCCGCCCGCAGGTGTCGCACGTGATGACTAGCACGTCCGCCCAGGGCTTCCTGGCGCCTCTGCTCTTGTTCTCGACGGTCGAGGTGCACGACCGGCCCTCAACCAGGAGTGTGTCGCAGAACTTGCAGACGGTGCGCTTCAGGGCCGGGCCGAGGCGGATCTGGCTCTTGAGGCTGACGGAGCGGAGATCAGAGAGGAGACGGCGCGACATGCCCTCCAGCTGTCGATGGTCGCCGTGCTTCTCCTCATCTCGCGACGGAGCTCCCGAGCCGGAGCCGTCTGCTGGGCCCGCCTGTCCATCGTGTTTTTCAGGCGCGGGCCTGTCCGCAAGGGGGTCCTTGGCAGGCTGTTGCTGCCTTGTCGAGGCGAGCAAGGCGGCAGCCTGGTATAGGAATGAGATGCGCGTGTAGGTGGGCCTGTTCTGTACGCCACTGCCGGCTTTGCGCTTCGCTCCTTTAGCCATTGTCGAGAGCCAATCGCGCCGAGGCTTCACCCGTATGCGGCCTTCCTGCTTCCTGCCTGTTTTCGTTCGCCGTCACGAGCCAGCCTCACTCAAACCGGGCGTCTCCACAAAGCGCGGTAGGGGGGGGGGGGGGGGG